TTATTATTCTAACTTTGATTTGAATGATGAACTCACATGTTAACTTTTCTCATATCCTTTATTTTGATATCTTATTCAATAATCAAATATTATAATAAGTTTATATTGAATAATTTATATTTTTCACTTTTTATCTTGATGATTTATTAGTTTAGTTTGAAAATAAATAGAAAATCAAATTATTTTCTCTGCCTTTTTTTTATTTAGATTTATTAGTTAATATTTAAATATGATAGTATAAGTACGGTGCTGGAAATGCAAAATTAAAGCCGAACTATTTAGATATATGGTTAGATAGAGCGTGACGAGCTGATTAAGTATATATGTATTTTCATATTTTTTTTTTGAATGAGTTTTTAGGAGAAAAAGAGGTCAACTATCGACAATCGACAAATCGACACTTCCTTTTTGTTTCCTTCAAATTTCAAAACCATTTTTTCAGTTTCAGTGTGAAAAACTGAATCTAAGAAAATTATGTATAAATAACTTTCATGCATTCAGTTTTTCATACTGAATCTGAAACAAGCAGTTTTGAAATTTGAAGGAAGAAAAAAAATATAATTGACCTCTGTTTCAGAAAAAGTAGGCTATCACAAATTTTTTCCCTGGTAACTCATTTCAAAACAAATAGAAACATATTTATACTAAATCAGCTCGTCACCCTTTATCTAACCATATATTAAGAAATCCTACTTTGATTTTGATTTTTGACAGATTAAAATAAAAATACATTCAAACCTATTTATTTTTAGTGATTGATGACGTAAACAAGGAATGGAAATAATGATGAGAGGAGTCAAATTCCATAAATGTCTACCGTTCAGGTGTAAATTCAACATGATCTCATTCGCTCTTGTGGAATCTTGGGTGTATTCGACATCTTTCAATTCTTCAATCTGATCATTCAAAGCATCAGAGTCAATCGTCGAGAACTTCTTGTAGGAACCCTGTGCCAATAAATTCAGCAGCTTCTGACAAGATCCTGTTGGAAGTTATTGTATCATTCGGAATATCTCATTGGATATGATAGGATTGGAATTTAGAAGTCTTTGACTTCAGAATCAACTTAACTCAATCATTAAAAACTGTGATTGTTAGCATTGTTGAAGATTTTACTTTATCCACATATATACATATACACGCTTTAAAATTATTCATCATTAATGATAGAAACACTTTTTGAATCATTAAAATCTCCTTGAATTACCTAATTTTCAGTCAAGAAATAGTGTACTGTGAGATAAAAATAAAATTTTTATTATTGTATTTTTCTAATACTTTTTTGTTACTTATAACTTGCTTTATTGAACAATCTAATGATAATGACAAGCCTTAAGTGTTGAAAAAATATCAATAATATTGTGTGAAAATTGGCTCCAAAAAGACAAATGAAATAATGTGATAATCTTTGTAAAATTTGTAAATATAAGAAGGAAACTTAATCCGTGAAAAACACCAAGAACCTCGCTAAGAATTATATTTGATACATTAATTACAGAAATCGAAATAATAATTTATTGAATAGAATTTGAGAAATAACTTAGTAGTAATTTAAGATTATTATGCAAAAGATTCAACAAGATGTACAATAATTTTATGAAATGTTTTTCTTTTCACAGTTAGTCTCATTGATTTGTAGACCCGATGGTTTTACAAAAAATTCCGATTTGTGGCGTCCTCTATTTAAAATATATAACTAAGTTGCCGATATAGTTCTGTAAAAAACCCAATCATTCAATATTATTACTATCAGTTGACAATTGACCTTACTATTTTTCTTGTTGAAAATTGATGGTTTTTAAGATTAATAATTCTATTTTAATGACTATGATTATGCTTGCTTTTCTTTTCTTTTAAGAATCTCACTAGTTTAAATAATGGATTCACAACCAATTATTCGCGATCTTGTTTCAACTAATATTGTATTACATTCAACATCATCGAATGGAACATGTGTTCAATTAGTTGAAAGTGATAAAAATCCATTTGGTCATACAATAGTGAATACACGAAATGATACAGTATCTGATCCACAAGATCTTGTAAATTTAGCTCGACAAATTGAAACATGTGATGCATTTGTTCGAGCAAATGTTTCCAATCGTTTACAAGTTATTGTTAATCAAATGAATTATTTACGTCAAGAAGCACAACGTACACTAATGAAAGCACGACGTGATGATGAATTAAATCATTGTGCTTGCAATCTTGTTCGACGACCTGGACAAACCTATTATCAATATGAAAGACAAAGTGGACAAAAATATTTATCAATCATGCATCCACAAGATTGGTTAACAAGTGCAAAAAGTGGTGGATGTCCACATCGATTTTTAGGTGCATATAGACTTGAATATGATAATTCATGGACACGGCAACCAACAGATTTTGATGTTGGATTAGATGATCCATTAGATGAATTAAAACAACAGAATGCATCTGATGCAAAACAAAATCAGAAAATGATCGAATTTCTTATTAAATCATAAATTGTTTCTTTTTTTTGTTTTTGTTTTCTAAATAAATAAAAATTAAATATAGAAAATTTTGTTTTCAGAAAAAAAATGACTACAAAGAATATATCGGCTAATAATAATGATGATGATGATGGTCTTGAATCAGTTCTTGGAGATGATGATGAATTTCAAGAAGCTGCTTTATTTGTTCAAAATAATCTTTCACTATTTTCTCGTGATGATTTACTTTATTTATATGCACGATTTAAACAGGTAAGTTTTTAAGTATATTTTCAATTGATATTAAATCATTTTTTCTTACTTCTAAAGGTTACTGTTGGTGATGTTAACATTCCTCGACCAGGTTATTTTAGTTTTGAAGCAAAAACCAAATGGTAATTTTCATTGACAAAGAATTAACTCTTCTATTTTCTTTCAATTTAGGGATGCCTGGAATTCTCTAAAATCAATTTCAAAATCTCAAGCATCCAAAGAATATATCCAACGCGTAGCTGATATAAAACAAAAAAATAATATAGAAAATCAAGTAAAATGAGTTTAATAATTTTAATATCTTCTTTATCGATTTATTTCAATTAGAAATCAACAAAAACTGGGCCAAGTGTTAGTCGATTATTAGTACAAAATGATGAAAAAATGCCTAATGATGATGAAAAGACAATTTATGATTTCTGTCAAGACGGCAATGAAGAACGTGTTGAACAAATGCTCAAAAGAAATTTTGATGTTAATAAACCAGATGATATGGTAAAACAGCAGATTTCAAAAGATTCTCAACTTTTTATATAGATTAACGAGTTATCAATCTGAAGATGAGTGTTGTAGGTCAATCCGTCTTCGAAAAAAATATACTATAAGTTAAATGAGACGAATAATAAAATCTGATCAAACAATTAATTATTATATTTTAGCCGACCCATAAAAATACATTTCAAATCGTATAAAAAGAGCGACAATGTCGTTACTCTATACCCAAGTTGATGGTTCCATCACTTGAATCTGTGAATTTGAGTCAAATTCTCGTTGAAAAGACGTTCTTTTCGGTTATAAAAATCAGGAAAACGATAAGAACTTGAAATCAGAAATTCCGTTATCAAATCTAATAGCCAGATTTTTCCAGTTCTAGCCCTAACGAACTGTAACCAGGCAGAGCCAGACAATAGATTGCATCATCGAATTCCTACTTCCAACTTCTTACTACGTAGTTTTTCGAGTTTTGCAACAGGAAAGAACTCGTATTTCTTGACTTGAGTGTTAACAAAGGTTATTCTTGTTTGATAATATCTAAGTTTTGAAAGACAAAACTGAGAATTTTTTAGAATAGTTGATTAGGTTAGTTTATATCTCAGAACTTCTAAATAATAAAGTTTGAAACATTGTACTTATATATTTAGCAACTAACTTTATTACATTGGGCAGCAGACAGAGGCAACGAATCAATGATACGCCTCCTAGTAAAATATGGGGCTGAGCTCAATGTTCGTGATGAAGATGGACAAACTCCATTATTTTATGGTAAAGAATAAAGTTGTCAATAAACAATTAGTTATTTTGTTTTCTGCTGTTATATTATAGCTGCTGATTCAAGTAATATTCCTTGTATGAAGCTTTTACTTGAACTTGGTGCTGACCCATCAATTCCAAATAATGATGATGAATTGCCATCTTCTCGGTCACAAACAGATGAAGAACGAGCTGTCTGGACAGCAAGTCTATAAACATTATATGGACTTCACTTTTTATTGTTTTTTTTTACTACATATACTGTAGAATCTTTCGTGAGAGATTAAGCAATAACAAGATGTTTGTTGTTACGAGTCGGAAATAAAAATGTCACTTCGATGACTTGAGGCTTGTGGATCATCTCAACAAATGTATAATTTGGATCAACTTATAAGCAAATGAGTCCATATGTTTGAACAATTTAAACATGAGTTATTATTTACTATGTCTCGAGAGGAAGGCATAAAGAAATTGACAAGTATCGAAAAGAAAAATAGCCTAAACAGCATCAATTAACATATAAAAACAAGCACTTTTTCAATGTTTGTTTCTTTTTTTTTTCGCTCTATTAACCTTTTCTCGGTCAACAATACAATCATGATGTTCTATTTATCTTCTTCTATATGGTCGAATTTCGTACAGGACACATACACAACTAGTTTGCCTTGACCGATAAACAAACCTACGTTTTCCTGTTCTTCTTCGTATTTTCGTTGATCACAGTGCACCATTCAATTAGAACAATGGTCATCACGTTTTTTTCTTCATTCTCTTTCGTCGACCCTGACACATGTCCGTATATGGTAATCGTCGGTCAAAACATACAATAAGATGGAATGGTTGAAATGCACGAGAGACAGAGAGAGAGAGAGTTGTGAGAGAGAATAAAAAACAAAAAAAAGGAGAAAAGTGAAGAGCTAGAAGAACGCGCGCGCCATTCGTCGACCAAGAGAAAGAAGAGTAGGCAGCAGCATATATATATATACTTTCATCTTAAATTTCACTAAATAAATTGCAATCATGTGTGACGACGATGTAGCAGCACTTGTTATTGATAATGGTAGTGGTATGTGTAAAGCTGGATTTGCTGGTGATGATGCTCCACGTGCTGTATTTCCATCAATTGTTGGTCGACCACGT